TATATTATGTTTATTCCAACATAATCAATCTATTAATAATCTATAATGAAATTTAAACAACAATTATATTTCAAAGACAATCATTGTGATTACTTTTCCATTAATATTTATGTAATTAACATTTATTCTTGTCCATTTAAACAAATTTTACTTTTGAATAATGAATTCGAAAATTTATAAGATAATAAAATAAATATATTTATATAAATAATCTAAAATTTCTTTCAAAATATTAATTAATTTAAAAATTTAAAATCATTAAAAAATTAAATAAAATAGATTCCAAAGTACTGTAATATTTTTATAAAAGATTAAAATTTAGCAAACCTAAAAAAGCATTATATTTACTATAATTCTAAAATTATTAGAATACAAAAAAAATTTGGAATTACATTTCTGCACGAGTTTTGCGAATAATCCAAATCTATCATTTATATAAAAAAAAAATCCGTTCAAATATAGATTAGATTAGAAAAAAAGTAAAAAAAAAACTTCATTATTTAGAAATTATTATAAACATCATCATATTTTAGTATGATAATTTAAATATTTTTTTGTGTTTTTGTGATTTTTTTTGTGTTTTCTTTCTTTTTATTTCTTTTTTGTCTTTAATAGATAAGATTAATCTCATAAGAATCGTAACTTAACGAAAGAACTTTAAATCGTATAATTTTAATTGGATGACAATGACTGATTGAAAAAAACATTCATTAATAAGCAGAGAAAGTGATTCTATTGAGAATAATGGATTATCACACGAATAGATTTATTATTAGATTAATAAATTAATGATTTATATTAAGTAGATTGGGCTGATTATTAACGATTGTTAAGTTTATTTAAGTTGTTATTAAAATAGGTCAGACATAAACTCTTATAATAATTCACTATTCGATAAAATATGTATTTTCTTTTTATTTCTTGTTTATAAACCGATTATTAAACCGAAACAAATATTATACTACAATAAAAATTGTCATTTTATGCAAAGAATAATATGCAAAGAATAGGTGAACTAAATAACATATTTGCTTTTAATAATCTTGTTTTTTAAAAATATAATAATAGATCTTTTTATTTATTATCTGATAATATAAAACAAATATATGATCTATATGATCTATATGAAAATCACTCAAGATCACTTTAAATCAATTAAAATAAAAATTTTTTTAATCTATTCTTCGAATACGTTTGTATTTTTTTTGTAAAGTATTTTTTTTGTTATTGGTATATTATTTTTCTAATCGCTAATACAAAAATTACAAAACATAAATAATTTTAATATTCAATCGCTAGATTGAGAAATAATAAATATTCTCTAGATTTGATATCTCTTATTTCTAAATAATTCGTATAAGAACATATAAAAAAAGGTTTGTTCTATAATACATCTAAATAAAATTTGTCATATAGTATTATTCATATAGTATTATCCACGATGTTTTAAATTACATATCATTTGAATAGTTTGAATATTTTTATTAGCAGTGAACATATATTAAAGAATATTTATATATTTCATATTACATATTTAAACTATCAAAGTATTAAAAAAATATTTTTAAACAATATTATTTTTTGTTTTAATTTTTAATTGATTTAAATGATTTTCATATTTTATTTATCTTGAAATTGCTTTATGTGCATATAGATAAAAAACTATATCAAACAGAATTGATCTTTATATCTTCTTCTTATAATCTATTTCTTTTTTTTTTTTTTATCATTAAAAATCTATATCTAGCGAATTATTCAAATGATTTTATTTTAATTTTCTACTGTATATATATATATATAATCAATCAATTATTATTGTAATTGCAAGTTTTAATTGAGAATCGGTTATTAAAATTTGCATAATAATGTTTATTTCTCGCTTATTCGTTGAAAGTGTTCTATCTTATATTTTTTATTTCTCGATGAATAAAAACTTTAAATTTTTACATGATTTTTTGTAAAATTTAGAAATGTTTTAAATATGTAGTACGATAATTTACGAGTACAATAATAATTATCTATGTATGTGTATAAAAAAAACAAATTTTTTGCTTATAATTATATAAAAAGCAGGAAGTCTATTTTGACATAAATAAGTAACTCTTTTTTGGCATAAATAAAATATATTATAAAATATTTTACTTTCAAATGTTCACATACTCGAATTACTTTCAAAAGATTCACATACTCGAATGCTTCCCAAGTTTCAAAAAATAAAAATAATATTAAATCTGTTATGTAAAAATGTTAAAATATTAATAATATTAACAATATATTAACAATATATATGAAAATTTTTATTGAATTAAAATGCATTTATAAATTTATAAAACACCAAAATATGAATGAATATATCTATACAATATTTATAATATTTAATAAATGAAATTAATTTTTATTCATTTTCTATTTTATTTTATTTGCATGTAAAAATATTTTAATTTTCAATTACTATTTAATTTCTAATCGATTGATTTTTCGAATTAACTCTTAATCATTTGAATCTTATTAAATGTGTCAATCATAAATAATAGAATTATTATATTTTTCGATTTTTGAAAATAGATAATAGAAATCATGGCTCAGTTTAAAATGTAATCGGTATATAATTTACAATTTAATGTTTTCAATATATACTTAAAAATCTGATTGTAATTGAAAATTATTGATTGATACAGAAAATGTAAAATCGCTTATAAATCTTATACCTTATATTTTGTTAAATAAAATCATATTATTTTGGATAGTGTGTCAATTATAAATAAAGTATTATATCTTATATATATATTATATCTATAGTTTATATTGTTTCAAATTTAAAAATTTAGTTTTAAAAATTCAAAAATTTTAAAAATTCAAAGCTTTAAAAAATAAGTTAACTTGGAATTTCTAAAATTATCAATATTCAAAAACATTGAGGATTCTTTTAAAAAGAAAATTATCTATGAAAATTCATAAAATATCTTCGTAAGATATAACTAGAAATAAAAAAAATTCAAATACTTTATAAAATTGTTAAAATCAATAGTACATGTTTAGTTGAATCTTTCTTTTCATATTACATATTCACATAAAATATAACTAAGAACAATCATTCGATTCTCTCAACAAATATTACTATTGACTTTTTTAAGATCGGATGTTTTCTACATAACTATATTTCAATATACTGTAAGTATTGATGTATTAATAACAGCTTTTTTATGATATCCACTTTCATGTATCAGATTATTGAACAATTTTGACATGATTTTAGTTTGATTTTAAATTTTCAATTGTCAATTAAAATTCAAAAAAATATGGCGCATAATAATATAGATTTATCATAGGTAATTATTATAGGTATTATTTAATTCTATCACTAATAATTTAAATATTTCCAAGAAAATATTGACAAAATATTATAAAAATAATAACAAATAAAATAGATAACATTTAATACAATAATTTTGCATTTATCTTTTAACAAATTTTAAATGAATAAATTTAATCTGTTATTTCCTTAAAAAAGAAATTATAAAAAATAAATTATATTTCAATGCTTTTGAACATAAAATATATATTGTATAATTATATTTATATAATATAATATAATAAATAAATAAAATATATATAT